CTTCATTCTCCCTTGCTCCTGAAGGGGTGAGACCAGTGGAGTATCTTAGATGGCTGCTCACAGGCTTTTAAGACCCCAGACGCTACTCACCGAAGTAGAATGTAGAACATTTTCTTTATAAACTATGTTATGCCAATTGAGCTAGATGCTCCCTGAGACCATGGTCCCCACAGCCCTCAGTCCAGCAATTCGGTCCCTCAGAGAGTTTGGATGTGTCTGTGGAGCTTCTATGGCTTTGCCTTGTACAAGCTGTGCTGGCTTCCCCAGCATTATGTACTGTTTTACCCTTCACCAAAGTTACCACTTATCTATTGTCTATTTAGTGCCCCCTCCAATCCCTCCCCTCCCTCGTAACCAACAAAGATTGTTTCTTTTTGTATGTAAACCTTTTCATGAGTTTTTACAGTAGTGGTCTCATACAATATTTGTCTTCTTGTGATTGACTTATTTCACTCAGCATAATGCCCTCCAGATTCATCCATGTTATGAGATGTTTTGCAGATTCATCATTCTTTATCACTGCACAATACACTGTGTGTTATGTACCATAGTTTGTTTATCCATTCATCTGTCGATGGGCATTGAGGTTGTTTCCATCTTTTTGCTATTGTGAACAATGCTGCAATGAACATGGGCGTGCATATGTCTATTCGTGTGACGGCTCTCATTTCTCTAGGATATATTCCTAGGAGTGGGATTGCTGGACTGTATAGTATTTCTATTTCTAGCTTTCTAAGGAAGTGCTATATTGTTTTCCAAAATGGTCGCATCATTCTGCATTCCCACCAGCAGTGCATAAGCGTTCCAATCTCCCCGCAGCCTCTCCAACATTTGTTATTCCCAGTGTTTTTGATTCGTGCCAGTAATGCCGGGGTGAGATGGTATCTCCTTGTGGTTTTCATTTGCATTTCTCTAATGGCTAGTGATCACGAGCATTTCCTCATGTGTCTGTTGGCTGCTTGAATGTCTTCTTTGGTGAAGTGTCTGTTCATTTCCTTTGCCCATTTTTTAATTGGATTATTTGTCTTTTTGTTGTAGAGGTGTTGTATTTTCTTTTAGATTTTACAGATTAGAGCTTTGTCTCATTTGTAATGTCCAAAAATTTTTTCCCAGTCTGTAGGTTCTCTTTTCACTCTTTTGGTGAAGGCTTTTGATGAGCATAAAGTGTTTACTTTTTAGAAGACCCAGTTATCTAGCTTATCTTCTGGGGTTTGTGTGTTGTTGGTTATGGTTTGTATCCTGTTAATGCCATGTATTAGGGCCTCTAGTGTTGATCTTATTTTTTTCTTCTATGAACTTTACAGTTTTTAGCTTTATATTCAGGTCTTTGATCCATTTTGAATTAGTTTTTATATATGGTGTTAGGTATGGGTCCTGTTTCATTTTTTTTGCAGATGGACATCCAGTTTTGCCAGCACCATTTGTTAAAAAAGACTGTCTTTTCCCCATATGGTGGACTTTGGGCCCTTGCTGAAAATCAGGTGACCTTAGGTAGGTGTATTTACATCTGGCTTCTCAATTCTGTTCCACTGGTCAATGTATCTGTCGTTGTACCAGTACCAGGCTGTTTTGACTACCATAGCTGTACAGTAGGTTCTGAGGTCCCAAACTATAACAATTTAACTTAAAAAAAAAAAGAAGACTACAAGACAGTATGGTATCATTTGTGGAAAACAAAATATATCCATGATTATGCCTGCATATATATATGGAATTTACCACTTGTCTATCAGTTTGCATAGTGGCTTCCATGTTGTTTTGATTCTGGAAGTCACTCCACTGGAATTTCAAATACTAGCTGGGTCACCCATGGTGGACAGGTTTCAGCAGAGCTGAAACTAAGAAAACTAAGAAAAACTAAGAAGGAAGGCCTGATGATCTACTTCTGAAAATTAGCCAATGAAAACCCTATGGATCACAGCAGAGTATTATCCAAATATAGTGCTGAAGATGAGCCCCCTAGGTTGGAAGGCACTCAAAATACACAATGGCTGCAACAATGGACTTAAGAATATCAACGATCGTGAAGATGGTGCAGGACTGGGCAACATTTCATTTTGTTGTACATGGGGTCGCCATGAGTCGGAGCCAACTCAACAGCAACTAACAATAACATATACAGAATAGCTCTGAAAGGACACACAGAAAGAGATATAAAACAAATAGTTGCTCCTGGATAAGGAACTGGGGAGGGAGGGTTATGGGATACTTTTCACTGTATATGTTTATATACCTTTTGAATTCTGTACCATGTACATGTATTACCTATTTTTTTTAAAAAAAACTTGATTTAAAAGAATAAATAATTGCAAAGTGCATAACAGTTGCCTAATATAAAACATAGCACTAGATGTTTAATTCTATTACAAAATGTGCACACATAATTTTAAAGCTTTTGTATATGCAGATTTCTGCCCTCTTGCATCTAGCGCAGCGCCTGGCACATCCTAGGTATGCCACAAATGACTGTGGAATGAATGAACTGATAGTCGTAGAGGTTCTTCTTACAACTCTAGGCAGAAGGAGTCTACACTTCTCTCAGAAACAGCCCAGTGAGTGACAGTGTTCTGGAATGAGGAAGGTTGGATGAGGGCTGAGTTTAATGGTGGACCAACTCATGGTTGTCAACATGCACTTGTACTTTGAATTTCTCCAGGACTTTCATTTTTAGCTACAGCAGTGGTTCTCAACTGGGGGCAATTTTTGGCCCCCAGGAGACATTTGGCAATGTCTGGAGACGTTCTTGGTAGTCACAATTGTGGGGAGGTGCCACTGGCAATGGGTAGGTAGAGGCCAAGGGTGGTGCTGAACATCCTGCGATGCACAAGCCAGCCCCCACAACGAAGAGTTATCCAGACCAAATGTCCATAGTGCTGCGGTTGAGAAGCCCTGAGCTGAATATATACAGATGAGTGAATGCCAATGCTATTCACTCTGCTAAACCCTTATTCACCAGCCTTGGAACTTCTATGTGTTTGTGTTCCCTCATAAATGTACAGTCCGCTACATAATCCTCTAGAACTGCATTATTTATTCATTCTCCAGGTTCTCAGGCTTATTTTAATCTCATCGTTGAGGATCCCAGCCAACTCTGCTCCATCTCCCTACCGCAGTCACTTTGAGAAGGTGAGAAATGCCAGGATATTTGAGGAACAACCCGTCTGGGAAATCCTGCAGGTGCTTGTGAAGAGTTCAGCTGTCCCTGAAGCCAGGAGTTCTCCGGGAAGAATGCTAGCTCATGGGGCTGGCTCTTGAGAAAGTGAGGGAGAAGGAAATATTTTGGTGTTTTTCAGGCAGAAATCTCAGAAAGGACGGCAATGGTCAGTTCCGGAAGGGGCTAGCCTGCCAGTGAAGGTGCTCTTCATCAAGAGGCTTCTTCTCCAGGCTTCCCAGGACTCTCCCCCAGTCTGGGTGTCAGAGGAGGAAATGCAAGCAGTCCCGGCTGCTCTCCAAGACCCCAAGACACAGTTGGGGCCTCTTTTATATTTAAAGCATCCTGGAATATGATTGAGGCTCTGGGTGGTGCAAACGGTTAACGCGCTCAGCTGCTAACCAAAAGGATGGACGTTCAAGTCCATCCAGAGACATCTCAAAAGAAAGTCCTGGCTACCTACTTCCAAAAAATCAGCCACTGAACCCTCTGGAGCACAGTTCTACTCTGACACACATGGTGTCACCATAAGTCAGAATCAACTTGACAGCCTAGTTTTTTATTGGGAATGTGATACTCTTACATCTTGAGTTGGTGATAAGAGCCACAGAGGCAGGGTTCTGTCCTGGTCCAGCCACTTACCTGTCTGTGACCTTGGCAAGTTCCCTAACTCCTCTGACCTTTAGTTTCCTTCTCTGTAAAATGGGTGCACTGCAGGATTGGTATGAAGTTGCAGCGATGTCGTCGATGGGAACAGAGCTCTATAACTGGCCAGCTCCCATACAAACTTCCATTATTATTTAAATCTATGTCCCCTACATTTTTAGCTCATGTTTACCCTGGCCAGTGTGTGGTTATGTACAGGTCATCTCAATGGAGGGTGCCACAAAGGCTGCTGGCAGGGTCTGAGGCTTGGAAGATGGGTTGAGGAAGAGGACTGTAGTTCCTGAGGTCACTCAGGAATATGGCAAGTGGGTTAATAAGAGACTGAGGCTGAAGCGGTGAGATACAGACTCAGACGTATAGTGTTCTCCCACTTCGGGTCTGAAGTGGACTGAAAATTTGAGGCAGCATAAAAATAACAGAGGGTTATGGGGGCTCCGGCAGCAAAGACTGAAGGTGGGATCAATGGGTCATTCAAACCAGGGCATTCTAACACAGACTGCTGTGGCTGGCTGCCATTGGGTTGACTCTGATTCACGGAAACTTTATGTACAACAGAACAAAATTCTGCTCGGACGTCCGTCATCCTTACAATCGCCAACATGTTTCACAATCACCAACACGTTTAAGTCCATTGTTGTAGCTAACATGCCAATCCATCTCACCAAGAGCCCCCCCACGTCCTCGTGGGTCCTCTACTTCACCAAACATGATGTCCTCTTCTAACAACTGATCCCTCCTCCTGATAATGTGTCCAAAGCAAGAAAGCTGGACAACGTTCTGTTGTGATCCATGAAGTTTTCATTGGCTAATTTTCTGTCCTAGTCTGAAAGCTCCACTGAAACCTGTCCACCACAGGTGACCCTGCTAGTACGTGAAATACTGGTACAGCTTCCAACATCACAGCAACACACAAGCCACCACTGTACGACAAACTGACAAACAAGCTGTACGATAAACAAATTGCAGTCAAACATTGACTACACAAGAATTACTTGTTTCTGACATCATCCATGCAATGGATATTAATGGAGTGTCTACCATGTGCCAGACAGAGAGACAAATGGAATTAGTTTCTGCCCTTGAGGAGCATCCTAACAGAGCAGCCTCTTTTGGAAGGGCTATTGTGAGGGTAAATGAGATCACAGATATGGGCTGCATGCGGCAAGGGGACCATTATGACTACCGCAGCTTGTGCTGGGCAGAATCAAAGGCCCTGAGCTGGTCCAGGGCCCCCTTTCCTTGCCAGGCAGGCTGCTCTCAAAGAGGGAGAGAAGATTAATCTGACAAGCCTTGTTCTTTTTCAAACCACATGGGTCATTACTCAAAACACTCTTTTCTTCGTGGTTTTTGCAAATGGATTTTGTGGTGATTTTTTTCAGGCATGTTGGCAGTGCTGAGGAGGGAAATAAAAGAGCCTGTTAATGTCAGTGTGTGTCACTGGGGATGCTGAAGTGTTAAAATGGAGAAGAGAAGTATCCTTAATTAAAGCAGAAAAAGCTGGCGGTTACCTGGGTCTCTAAAATGCTGTGGTATTGGCAGTCTAATTCCTGGGGCCTTTCCTCAGCTTTTTGGAGACGAACCTTATTTTGTTGGATGAATTCTTCCAGTCTTAAAACCTAAGCAGAAGAAAAGGGACACTAGGCAAGGAAAAGTCATATCTCATGGACATGGTCATTAATGTAGGGGTCAATTCTCCGGGATCAGTCAGTTCTGGGGAGAGTGTGCCATTAAATAAATTCCAAAAATGCTTCCAGAAATGCCATTTCTAACTGGCTAGTTGCTTAGTCTTCCCAAAAAAAGACAAGCCTAACAGGTTTATAGAGTCCTTGGCTGGCACAGTTAAGTACTCAAGTACTAGCCAAAAGGTTGGTGGTATGAACCCACTCACGCCTGCTTCCAAAGCACAAGGTCACAGCCTTGAAAACCCTCTGGAGCAGTTCTCTGTACACATGGGGTCACCATACAATGGAATTGACTCAACAGCAACTAACAACAACAACAGGTTTACAGTATTCCACATTTAAAAAAAAACTAGTTACATACATGTATCTCTACTAGATCTGCAAGGTGGTTTTCATTGCCTTTCATATCATTCCTGGAAGGCCACTCTATTTCTTTTGGGGAAAAGTTAGTTGGTAAAGTATTTCTTTTGGGGAAAAGTTAGTTGGTAAAAAAAAAAGGAACACTATTTAAGAATTGTACAGATAACATGTGGGAAGAGTGGCTACAAAGTTTTGTTAAGTTGTTAATTCTTAATCATGATGATATTATTAGTCAACTAATTGGAATATATATCAATTGAACAGATTGCCTTTCCTGCTCTAGATTTTGAGAACAACGAGGCCAGTAACAATAAAGAAGACTCAGATATTGTTAACAAGCGTTTATAGAAAACCTAATACTTGTCAGGCACCATGCTAGGTACCAGGAGGGAAGGGGAAGGGACAGAGTGAGAGCAAGATGTGTTGTCGTCGTTATCTGCTGACGAGTCACCCACCCCCCACCCCTGCTCCGCCCAACTCATGAGGACCCCAAGCATAAGAGAACAAAATGCTACCTGGTCCTGTGCCATCCCCATGACTAGTTATGGATCAGACCATTTTGATCCATAGGGTTTTCACTGGCTGATTTTCAGGAAGTAGATTGTAGGGCCTTTCTTTTTTTATTTTTAATTTTATTTATTTTGTTGTCGTTGTTGTTAAGGATATACAAAGCAAAACATATAACAATTCAACAGTTTCTATATGTACAAATCAGTGACACGGATTATATTCTTTGAGTTGTGCAACCATTCTCATCCTCCTTTTCCAAATTGCTCTTAACATAAATTCACTGCCCCCTAAGGTTCCTATGGAAACCCTGGTGGTGTAGTGGTTAAGAGTTTGGCTGTTAACCAAAAGGTTGGCAGTTTGAATACACCAGGAGGACACCCTATGGGGCAGTTAATCCTTCAAGTTACTATTGTCACTTTGATCCCATACAGATAGTTCTTAAAAGAGCATAATGCTCAAGGCAAACATTCTTTACTAGTTAAGCTAAACTATTCCTTGGTTTTAAGTAGACTTTAGGAAATATTTTTGGTTTAAGGTTTAAAGATTATCTCAGGTCAATAGTTTCAAGGGTTGATCTAGCCTCCATAGCTCCAGAAAGTCTGGAGTCCGTGAAAATTTGAAATTATGTTCTACATTTTCCCCCATTTGATCAGGATTATTCTATAGAATCTTTGATCATATTGTTCAGTAATGGTAACCATCCAGTTCTTCTGGTCTCATGGCAAAGGAGGCAATTGTTCATGGAGGCAATTAGTCATACATCTATTTCCTCCTCCATTCCTAACTCTCCTTCTTCCTCTGTTGCTCCAGATGGGTCTTTCTTCCTAGTCCTTCTTAGTCTGGAAGCTTCACTGAAACATGTTCAGCATCACAGCAGCTACACAAGCCTCCACTAACAGATGGGTAGTGACTATGTATGAAGTGCCCTGGCCAGGAATCGAACCGGGGTCTCCCTCATGAAAAGCGAGAATTCTACCATTAAACCACCATTGCCTCATCCTCTTTGTTTAAGCCTCTGTAACTCAGGCTATCTGTTACTCACAGCTAAATTCATTCCTCCAAGAAAATCTTCCTGTCTAGGCCGAACATCCTTTTCTTTCTTCCCAGGATGATACATGCATGGAGGTCAGGGAAGTTTCCCAAGATTTCTGGCATCTCAGTTAACCAGAAACTCCCAGGGGCCAGCACCATCACTTCCGAGCATTGCATTAATCTGGGGCTTACCTCCAGCAGAGAATTCTGCAGCTTCACATTTAGGGCTGATTTCTCTTCTTCCAGCTGCTTTATTTCATTTTCTGATTTCTTCTTCATTTCTTCCAACTGTGCTTCTACTTCCTAGATGATGATTGAAAGAATTAATCATACAAGGCAGGAAGACATAGACAGGACACTTTTTTACTCACACCCTGCCTTATTTCCAAAGGGGTTCAAGGTAGCTTACAAGAGTCATAAATACTGTAAGAAAATATAAATTAGAAATACATGCGAAGGCAGAAAGAAAAAAATGTAAAATTCACACTAGTAAGTCTGGTATGTATTCAACAAATCTCCTGCAGAAGACCTCTTTAAAGTTTTCAAAAGCAAAGATGTCACTTTGATGAATAAGGTGTTTCTGACCCAAGCCATGGTATTTTCAAAATCCTCACATGCATGAGAAACTGAACAAAGAAAAAGGAAGAAAGAATAACTGATGCATTTGAATTGTGGTGATGGAGAATATTAATGAATATGTCATGGACTGCTAGAAGAATGAACAAATCAGTCTTAGAAGAAGAAATACAACCAGAATGCTCCTTAGAAGTGAGGATGGCAAGACACTGGCTTGCTTACTTTCGACACATCATCAGGAAAGACCAATTGCTTGAAAAGGACATCATGCCTGGTACAGCATCAGCGAAGAGGAAGGAACTCTTCAATGAGGTGGATTAACACACTGGACTCAAACATGCCAATGATCATGAAGACGGCACAGGACCATTCATTCTGTTATACATAAAGTCACCATGAGTCAGAGATGATTTCATGGCAACTAAAAACAAGTCTGAAATATACTGGGGGTAGGGGGTAGTGGAGTACGTTCTTCGTTTTAAGCTTTCTAATGTCAAATATGGAAAGAGATTGCTTATCATTGAATAAATTCTCCATGTCCTATAAGTCAAAAGGCCAACTACATGCTCAGATGCAGGGAAATATTAAAAGCACAACAAAATTTCTCCTGTAGCCTTCTCAACAGTATCCACACATTCATCAAAATGATAGACTACCCAGTCATAAAATAGACAAACGACTTGAATAGACATTTCACCAAAAAGAAAATTCAAATGCCCACCAAACACATGAAAAGATGCTCAACGTCATTAGCCAACAGAGACATGCAAATCAAAACCACAATACCATTTCTCTCCCATTAGGATGGCTAAGATGAAAAAAAAAAAAGAAAATAACAAATGTGGGCAAGGATGTGGGGAAACTGGAACCCTTACCTGTTGCTGGTGAGAATGCAAAATGGTACAGCCATTGTGGAAAACATTGTGGCAATTCCTCAAAAAACTAAAAACAGAACTACCATATGACCCAGCAAATCGACTCCTAGGTATATAACCAAAAGATCTGAAAGCAGAGATTCAAACAGAGACTTATACACCAATGTTCCCTGCAGCACTATTCACAATGGCCAAAAAGCAGAAACAACTTAAATGCTCATCAATAGACGAATAGATAAACAAACTGTGGTACATACATACAACGGAATACTACTCAGCCAGTAGGAGAAATGAAGTCTTGATACATGCTACAATGTGAATAGAGCTTGAAGACATTATGCTGAGTGAAATAAGTCAATCACAAAAAGGACAAACATTGTATGACCTCACTAATATAAAAAAGACAAGAACAGGTAAATGTGTCCAAAATTTCTTAGTGGTTACCACGGGTGGGAGGGAGGAAGGAAGGGGGCAGTTATTGCTTATGGAGTACCGAATTTTGGTTTATGGTGGTGGGCAGGGTTGCACAGCTGATTATTGTAAGTCCTACACCTGTAAAAAGTTGAACTGGCAAAAATTGTGTGATAGATATATTTATAACAACAACAACAAAAAGAGTAGCTTATGAGGCTGATTATGTACAACCAAACACCTCATGGGATTTGGTTCCTTGGTTTAGAGGTTTAGAGTCATGGTTTCATGAAAGATTCCAGTTAATTGGCCTAGTAACATGTTTAGTGCTTCTGTTCTACCTCCTGGTTCGCTGTGTAGTCTTAAAAGCTTGCAAGCAGCTATCCAAGGCATAATAATTTGTCTCTATTCGTGTAGAGCAGCAGAGGAAGAATGGGAGTCAGAAATAGGAGGAAATGTAGGTGGGGCCAAGATGGCAGAGTACTCAGACGCTTCCAGTGGACCCTCTTACAACAAAGACCCGAAAAAACAAGTGATTCGATTATATATGTCAATCTGGGGGCCCTGAACATCAAAGGCAGAGTTGAGGAACCGGACTGAGTGTCAGGGGGTGGGAGAGACAGTTCGGAAGCAGCGAGGAGGTTGCCAGACCTGACCTGGCGAGAGCCTGAGCACTTAAGGCCTGAGCAGCTCGTGGGTGAGTGGTGAGGCAGGCAAGCAGCCATGCTGGGGAGGCATGTTACCCGCACCAGGCGAGAACCAGCCAGCCACCGAGAGTCTACACGGCCACCCAGAACCAGTGAGACGCAGCCCTCGATCCGGTAAAAGATAAGTAATTGCATACGGCCTACCGTGTAGATCAAAAACACCCTCCTTAGGGAAAAACCTCTCTCCCATTTACCTCTCTTCTCCCTGCTCTGCACTGGGTCCTGGACTGGCTTCAGCACTTGCCGAGTAACCTGGGCCAGAAGTAGGATCCGTCACACGCCCAGAGCCATTCTCCCTGCCTTGGCGAGTGAACAAATTAACAAACGGAAAAAAATAAACTGCGGGCTCCCCTAAGCCAGGAACCCAAGTTAGGCACAGCTCCTTTGCCTAGTCACAGGCATAAGGGACCCATGGACTTTGAGTGACATTCCCCCAGCATAGACTTGTGTGGACCCATCTCAACAGCGTAGGCCCTCATTACTGCAGTACAACAGGGTATATACCAGAAATCTAACTTCAACTGTTTCAGCTGTGAAGTGGCAGGTTCTTGACATTTAACACTGCTCTGCCCATTAAGCAGGGTCTTCAACTATCCACAACAAGGGCCTGAAGACTAGTGGCTCCACCCACGCCACCTAGCCACCTGCAGTAAGGGCCCATGAATAAGAGATGCCCCCCAGTCCTAACAGCCAAAAGCATTAGCTGCTCATAGTCCAGCTGCAAAACCCACTCACCTACGCGCTCTAGGGAACAGGGACACGCCTTCCTCCTGGACACTCGGGGACGGCCATCAGCCCCCTGCCTTGCTCAGAGTGCATCCCGCTGCTGCAGCCAGATGCCTGTGCCTACACCAATCACCCATGCCTGTCTAGGACTGTAAGTGAGAGCCTACACTACACACTTGGTGGCTATCTACCTGGGGACCTAAGCTGAATCCATACAGGAGGAGTGGGTGGACTCCTGAGCTCACATACCTAGTAACAGATCTAACCACCTGGTGGCAGGACATTAGGGCTTCAAAGGTGCCAATAATCAAACTAGCTCATACGAGCAGCCTATTTGGGCATACCAAAACAAAACAAGAAGGTAGGCCACAGTAAGCAAACATAAAATAAACAAATATAATAACTTATTGATGGCTTGCAGACAACAGTCAATATCAAATCACATAAAGAGGCAATCCATGATGGCTTCAGCAAGCTCCCAAAATAAATAATCTAGAAATTTTCCAGAGGTGGAAAATTTCTTGGAATTACCGGAGGCAGAATACAAAAGATTAATATACAGAAGAACTCCTCAAGAAATTAGGAAGGAAATTAAGCAAAATGCAGAACACACAATAGAGGAAATTAAAAAGATTAGAGAAGAGCATAATGACAAATTTAATAGGCTGCAAGAATCCATAGAGAGACAGCAATCAGAAATCCCGAAGATTAACAATAAAATTTCAGAATTAGACAACTCAATAGAAAGTAATAGGAGCAGAATTGAGGCAATGGAAGTCAGAATTAGTGAGACTGAAGATAAAGCACTTGACACCAACTTATTTGAGGAAAAATCAGATAAAAGGATTAAAACAAATGAAGAAATCCTAAGAATTATGTGGGACTGTATCAAGAGGAATAACCTATGAGTGATTGGAGTACAAGCACAGGGGGGATAACAGAAAATACAGAGAGAATTGTTGAAGATTTGTTGGCAGAAAACTTCCCTGATATTGTGAAAGATGAGAAAATATCTATCCAAGATGCTCATCAAATCCCACATAAAGCAGATCCCAAAAGAAAGTCACCAAGACATACTATAATCAAACTTGCCAAAACCAAAGATAGAGAATTTTAAAAGCGGCTAGGGATAAACAAAAAGTCACCTACAAAGGAGAGTCAATAAGAATAAGTTTGGACTACTCAGCAGAAACCATGCAGGCAAAAGGGCAATGGGATGACATATATAAAGCCTTGAAAGAAAAAAACTGCCAGCCAAGAATTATATATCCAGCAAAACTGTCTCTCAAATATGATGGCGAAATTAGGGCATTTCCAGATAAACAAAAGTTTAGGGAACTTGCAAAAATGAAACTAAAATTACAAGAAATACTAAAGGGAGTACTCTGGTTAGAAAATCAGTAACATCAGGTAACAACCCATGACTAGAACACAGGAGAGAGCAACCAGATATCGACCCAGATAGGGAAGTCACAAAACTAAATCAAAGCTAGAACATTGAAATAGGGACACAGATGCCAGTATGTAAAAGACGACAACATTAAAACAAAAAAGAGGGACTTAAAAAATGTAGACATAGATTTTTCATATGGAGAGGAAGTCAAGG